GGTAATGGAAGCACAAAATGGCTACAATTAGCACAGTTAAACAAAAGCACATTAAAACAAACACTGGTACAGTTGGTTGTAATAATAATTGTTTTTATTAAACCAGTCGTGTTCTCGTGATAAACGTGAGTCACTACAACATATTTGAGTGTGAAAAGTGAACTGGATGATTTTAGTCTTATTCATGCATCTAACTTGAAACGTGTACAGCACGTAAATCTCCTTAGGGCAATTATGATCCAAGTCATTCACTTTAAATTCCACGGTTTTTACGAATTTTGTGTTTAGAAAACAAAGACCTGGTTTAGGCTTCAGTATTATGGTCGAAACGACGGGGATTTGTGAAAGATTCGGTAAATCACGCCGCAGATTCATACATCAGCTAGCTTTGCCTCCAGGTCATGTGTCTAAAAACTTAACTGAGGAAAGTGTCTCACGCTGTTCAAAAACTTCGATACAACGTAATCACTGGCATATGTATGTGCAAAGGTCTGTTTGTAGATATTAGATAGGTTGTTGTGATCTATTCGTTCCTTGGCATTGCGTCTCTGAGGTCGTTGATCATTATACTTCCATTCCATCGAGCAAAACCAGTACACTTTATTTGTCGTGGTTGTCCTTGATAAGCACCTAATCATCACGAACTGGAATATTGACCAATGGAATATTTTCTAAAATATTTGGAAGATGATCTGTCTCCAAGCTTTCTTTTGGCTTCTGCTTCTGAATAAGCTGAAGTGTTTGTGTGTCAGATTTCTTATACTGAATGGTTAGTCATATCCAGTGTTAAATCTGACACTTGTATATCTAATCGAGTTACCACATCGCACCAGCACAGTGAGATGAAATTGTCGAGAGTAGTAAAAGCAGTAACATTATCAGTAGTATTCAAACAAATTAGCAATAAAAATGTGATCCAAGGAAAAAAAGTAGCTTACATACTATAAGGTAATTTTAAAACTCAGGAATTAAATGCGAGAAAAATATAAATGCAACTCCACCATTGCAACCGATTTTGAGCCACGTCACCAAACGTTCTTCGTTTACGGTAATCGCATGTACTCCAACAAGGTAATTTGCACCTACCGGTATTCCGCAAATTTTTCATAGGTGTGTAATGAATCAGAGTCAGCAGAGCAAATAGTTACTGATTTATACATGACTTCTCTAATTTTCATAGTATGAGGGGATGATTTTTTGAGAAGTATACATAATCAGTGGATTGGAGTTCTAAGTGAATTAGTTTCAGACATGGTCTCAAAATACTAAACTGTCCAACGTTCAAGATCTTTTCAAGAAGATCGTAATCAAAGTAATGAAACTTGATTCGGCATAAGTGTTTTTCATTCGACTTCGCATAGTCAAATTTTGCGCTAGTTTAAGCAACTGGCTAGTGTCATCATATCTGATTCATGAAACCGGCTTGAAGACGAGTACATAAATTCTTGCTTTGTTATTAAACTACATCTAATTTTATTTATCGCCCCCAAATGCCCTGGTACGGCCGAGAGTGGGGAGAGTCCGCTCTCCTTCGCTCTCTCTCTCTCTCTCTCTCTCTCTCGAAATGCTCTCACATGGCCACACATATATAGCCTCTGCCAGGGAAGTCCTACTAACTGCATTCTTTCACAGCGAGTGTTGTTTACGAAATTAAGAGGACGAAAATCAAACGTCCGGCGCTTTAATCGGGTTGGTGGACATGGAGAGTCCACCTTGGGGAGTTGGAAAACCCTTATTCCAAACCAATGGTGCACTTGGGTTCCAGGATCCTGAAGGAACAAATGACGTATGAACCAATCGTTGGTCACCGGCTACTATGGGAGTGCATCTCGTTACGTTGTTCCACTGCTGGCATTCAGTGGCAACACCATGTCAGTAATCCAGAGGTTCGGCATCGTGTGTTCGGGCACAGAGATGATAATTCAATTGGTGTCACCATCTTGAAACACCGACTTCGGTGGCTTGGACATGTTCTCCGAATGTCGTCCCAGAGAATTCCACGTCGTGCATTATTTGCCGACTCTGGGACTGGTTGGAAGAAGCGGAAAGGTGGTCAGTGCATGACATGGTGTCGTGGTATGAAAGAAAGCTGCAAAGGACTGGCTTGTGTTGGTCCTTCACGACTCCCTGGTTGGGGTCTGAGAGATGGTGCTACACAGTGGCTAGAAACGTTATCAGATATGGCTCAGAATAGAAGCCAGTGGCGATCCTGCTGTAACCTTCTTTTACTTTCTTCATAAAAAGTGGTTGTGTCTCCTTTACCTGAAAGATTTCTGATTGTACCTTTTCGTTCCCTCGTTACTACCACACTACCTTACTCCAATCTCTTCGTCATTGTTCTCTTTTTCTTTTGCGCTCCTTAGTTTTTTTTCTACTTCTCTTCGAATTCTCATTGTTTTGTGTGGCGCATATATATTGGCGCTCTCTTGTACCAATATTCATGTGTGTGGTGCATATATATTTGGTGCCTCCTTGTACCAATATCTGTGTATTAAAATAAAATAATTTTATTTATCTGATACACAATTGTAATCTTCAAAAAGAATTTTCTTCATTATGCATATTTTCAGATTGGGAAACAACTCATAACTGTATTCACAAATTATTATGTGGTGTTCATTCAACTGAAGAGATTAAACATTCCATCGAAAATCTATTCAACAAGTTTTTACTTTCGAAATCTGACAATTCAAGTAAACATCTATATATATATATATCACTTTAATGATAACAATAAGTTCATGGATTCTTCCAAAGGGAGTATTTTACTTTTATGGAATTACATCCATATAGACGATATTGCATTATACAAGTATGTTATTAAATAGAGATAGTTTTCGATTGTTTTAAAACATAATAGTTTATTCTTTTATTAGATCTAAATTACATTTCCGAACGTCTTTTAGTCATTTTGTCCAATAATGATCTGGATCATGTAAATTGGTCTCATATTCTTCAACTGATATCTGTTATGATCACATGTATTAAAGGAGGTGTGTCCACTGTTAAATGTAAGTTTGTTTCATGTAATCCATGTATATATTTATATATTTGTATGTGTAGAATGGTGACTTAATTAATAAATTGCAAGTAAACTATGATGTTCAATGTCTGAGTTATTGAAATATCCTGTTTTCAACAATCATTAACAGGTTCATATACTTCTCTCTTTCTCTCTCTCTTTTTGCTTCGGTCCAAACAACTGAGTGCTTGTATACACACAAAATATGATACAAATGCTAATATATAAGTTTGTAATTAGTTATGAAGTCACAATTATCTAAATTATTTTAGTTTACAACAGTATAGGGGGAAAGTGCTTTCTGATAAAAAGTAAAGTAAATTTTATAGGATCTCATAATAGAATTACATTGGTCTAAGTCTTGTCATACTACTTTAGAATAATGGGGATGGACTGAATAATATAAATAGTGAAGGAGTTAAACTGGTAGTAATAGTAGTATCAATGGCACAAAGAAGGGTCAAATATAGTGAATATCATTTTTATTAGAAGGATGAGAATCACGAACTAAAGTATTACGTGTCGTGGTAATCGGTGTTCAGGCGTACGTAATACGTGGGCCAACCGTCTCAATCGATGAAGATTCACAACCTCATCAACTGATTTACCATCATTTCCTAATACCTTACATCTAACCTCACTATCACTTGCCCGGTGATCCTAGCAGTTAGGTGATCAAAAATGTTTATACAGAGTATAGTTTTCGTTAAAGTTACAAATGATTGATCACGTTACGTATCAGACAATACTCGAGCCTACAAGCTCCACATGTATATTTTTTCATTCTACAAGTTATAGTAAGGCTTGGTGGCGCGGATTTGAATTCCACTGGGTGGATCATTTCCTTCAATATCTTACTTGCGCCGACTTACACAAAGCCTGTGTTCATGATGAACTAAAGCAATAGAGATGTAGATAAGTTTACGGAAAAATTCGTAGAAGGAGACAGTTATACTTACTCATTTGCTAAGGTGCTCCGTCATCAATAATTGTGTCCAATGATATCTTAGGGCAGATCCCAAAACTTTATTAGCCTTTGTAAACTTGAGTCACTTGTGACGTAGGTAAGATTTCCATCTTCCAGTCGAAGAGCTAGCATACTTCTCAGGATTTCTTTTCGTGTTACTGTATGGCTGTGAAACATGATGTTGTAAATGTGAAAATATTAGAAGCCATAGGTTTACGAGCATATGCATATTCAAAGTATTGCTTGTGTATGGTTAGAAAACTGAGGGAGCAATGTTTAGGCAAAGATAAGGAACTTGGAAAAGCCGACAAATTGGTTGACAAGGTTGCAAATCTTGATCAACTGACGTGACTAAGACACTACCTGGTTATCTTCGGTCCGATAACCTCAATCAATGGTTGGAGACGTTGAGTCACATAGCTCAGACTCGATCACAACGGTACAGATGCACTTACTTTGTTTTACTGTAGATCTCGAATTTTAGTATCCCTCCATATTTACTATAACATTTTGCCATTTTCCAACCATAGTCTTGATCTTCAATGTTTCTCATTCTCATTAATATTATTCTTTTCCAGTTATAATTCATCAACTTTATTGTCATTATTCAATTCAAATATGAATTATATCAACAATGATAATGTTGATTTAGATTGTTTACATTTATTAGATGATGTATTTATTCATAAAAGTCAATTGAATGTTTTAAAATCAACTAAACATGATAAACAATTATTGATAGGAGTTTTATTAATTGCACGTCAATTATGCTCAGAAGATAATCGATTAACTGGGATAAATTATAAACAATGGTGGATGGAAACATTTTGTAATCCATTACTATCAACACATAATAATAATAATAATACACAGAATGTACTTTCATCACGTTGTGCTGTAGTTTATTTTTGTGATTTACTCATTGAACTATTACCTTGGGAAACCGATCCAAAATTTCTACAAATTCAAGTCAACACTCGACCTAATTGGTTTAATCCTGTAAAAAGATCAATGAATAATAATCGAATCAAAATTCATACTGATAAAATTCGCATAAAACCGACTGAAGTAATTGTGTTATTCAATGAAGATGAGTTAATAATCCCGATTGATTTGGAATGTACAAATATGATAACTGATAGTAATAATCATAATCATAATACCTACATAGAATCTTGTATAAATCGATGGAATGATTATTGTGAAATTGCACAAGGACGGTTAGCTGAATTAAGGGTAAGATCGAATACTTCTTGGTTAGATGATACAATGATTATGTATGTTAATCACGTTAGCACTTATCCTTTCAAATGTACTAGACCTATCCTATATTATGTTTTACTAAACTAAACCTCGGGATTTCAATGACAGTTTCGATTGGTTATTTGTCTGTCTTTATTTCAATCCTTATTAAATGCTTGTCAGTCAGTCAGCTACAACGTGGGACCAGGCACATATATGCATTGGTCCATGTTGCTATACCGCGCAGTATAATTGTCCTTTAATTGATAGACGGATATCTTGCCTTCGCCATAGGTGACGTAGGTTGGCAAAAGCCAAACGAGCTTTTTGAATCTGTGCTGAGATTTCGTCAGACAGCAACCCATTAAGGATGATCAGACATGTAGTAAACAATCGTTGCACAGATTACACATCATTTGTTAATCAAGAATAAATTGTTTAGTTTTTAGTTCTGATAAAAGCTTATTGATCAAAGATGTTTATACAGAGTATGTTCTTCGTTAATGTTACAAATGATCGATCATGTTATGTATCAGATAATGCTCAAGCCTACAAGCTCCACATGTGTATTTTTTCATTCCTTAAGTTTCGATGAGGCTTAGTGGCGTGGGTTTGAATTCCACTGGGTGGATCATTTCCTTCAACATCTCACTTACCCCTTTATAATTAGTGCCGACTAACACGAAGCCTGTGTTCAGGGTTTCCTACCAACTGCCCTCAGTCATTATCAGTAATTTCTGATGTGTATCTATATATTGCTGCATTGCGGTAACTTAAATCAATAAATAAGATTTTTTGAAATTTCTTCCAGGAACACTGTTGTGCAACAAAAATGGTCACAACGGATAAAAAAATCTCTGATTGTCCAGATGCTTATACTACTCCAGGATGGAGTGATGTTCTAAATTGGCTAAATGAAATCGCGACACAACGTACTGTTGATTATTGTAGTGGTGATATTTCTAAATGTCGATTACCGTCCGAATGGAATGAAGTAAATCTGTTTCGGTAAGTTCTTGCAACCGAATTCTATGTTTTATCCTTTATACTAAAATATTTCGATGGTTTCGCCGACTGCGTATTTCGATTAATTGGGTAGTACGACTTTTCATATTGATCAATCAAAACAGAGAACCTTTTTACTTTTTGTAAATAATTTTCTCGATTCCAAGCATGTGTAGATAATCTCATTCTACTCAAATCAAAACTCGACTTTCATTCGTAAGGTTACAGACTTTAACCACACCTTATCTACTTGAGTTTAGTTCGATTGTAGCTGCCACATTGAAGTGTTGGTCTGGTTTAACTATTGTTGAGATTTGACTGAACTATATTGGCTAGAATACTTGTTCCTTTGTATCGTATTATTCCAGTCTGGTCGATTGGAATGTGATAATACTAGAAAAAGCTGCTTAAAGTCCGAAGATAAAGTCGTACTGCTAATTATACTGGAGTGTGATGGCAATAAAACAGTTTTCTCAGACGAACAGTGTCTACAGTGATGCTGTCTTCTTACAGCTGGAGGAGAGGTTTAGAGAAAATCAACCCTCGAAACATCACACCTCACCTTACCCCATGGATCTCTGTATTCGATCGTAAGACCTTGAAAGTCAGAGCTAACACATCAAGAACTACTCATAAAAAGCACTGTATAAACCATCTTAAGCGTTTGCTCTCAAGCACTGCGGTCACAACCCCAGGTAGCTAAGTCAGATAACTCAAGCAGAAGTACTTTTCCACTGTATGAGCAGCCGAGAAGTGTCAGCTGTTCCCCTGCACTTCTAACAGTACCTCTCGATTTCGTTTAAGCTCGTTGTAGTTGGTGTCCGTAGCTCTTGCATTATAAACAGATGTGTACTTGTTTACCTAGTTCACTCAGTCAGCTACGACGTAGGACCAGGCATATATATGCATCGGTTCAAGTTGCCATACCTCATTAGCACAACAAGGTGAACACCGAATTCATAGAAGCAGTTACTATAATGATAGTGAAAAAACATTTCATACAAGGATATGAGTTCATTTAGTTTCATAATACTTGTTTTTTCACCAAGCATATACCAGTTATTGTCTCATCAGTGATTCTTTTAGAAAACTGGTTATCTGTTTCAACCTTTGCACAGTGTTTCTCTTTTAGGAAGTAGAAATTTAATGGGAAATACTTATATGTTATTGTTAAGTTTATTACTTGAGTACGACTAATACGACATACGACTTCAGTACTAGGGAGTTGGAAAACCCTTATTCCAAACCAATGATGCACATGAGCTCCAGTGTCCTGAAGGAACAAATGGCGTATGAACCAATCATTGGTCACCGGCTACAATGGGACTGCAGCTCGTTACGATGCTCCACTGCCTTGTGGATCAGACCTTCAGGTCGAAGGCTCGGGGTGTGGCCCCCTAAGAAAACCACCTGTTTCGATCTGGACACCCGGGCAGTATCACAGCCCTCACACATGTCGAATGAGATCTGTGTAGCGCATATGTATTTGGTGCTTCCTTGTACCGATATCTATGTGTTAAAATAAATAAATAAACAAGACGAGACCTCATCAGACGATAAACTGAGATCGAAGGTCATGGGTTCGAATCCTGCGTGCGGGACCGTGGATGCGTTATCTCGAGAAGTCCTATACTACGACGAAATGTCTGTCCAGTGCTTCCAGGTTGTCAATAGTGGTCTAACATTGATCGGTTCATGTTCTCAATCAAAGCTTAACACCCTTCACAACCCTATACTGATGAAATGAAGAAATAATTACACAAGATCAAGCCAAAACTGGATGTGAGTACGGGAGATGATAACTAATAAATTGGGAATAAATTAAGAATGGCAAATCGGATGACAGTAGTTAACGGGTCAAGTGAAGGCTTATAACAAACGGAATATGAATGTACATATAATCTATTTACTTAATAATTGTCCAGTAAGAATATATGTAATAATAGTCCATAAATAATCCGTAGCAGTTTCCATTCACTCATCCTTCGTTCGAATGTAATAGATTGCTTAAACTAAAATAAGGGGTAGCTAATCCAAGGAATCCTATAAATTTATCAAATTGTTAAATTTTGGTCATAGTCGTTTTACGAGGTACAGACTTTCCAGCTTGAATGCTTAAGATTTCCCTAATTGATGGTTATAAACTTCAGGTAACATGACTCGAAGTTAGTTACAGTGTCACAGTGACCAGCTGTAGTCGTGCGGTTTACTCGCGGGTCAAACGGTGAAACTGTAACGTCTATAAATGATGCGGTCCAAACCCCTCAAAAAAGCAGTAATATCCTGAGGTTTTGAAAGACTCGTTGTATTTGAATAACCAGTGCTTCTCATCGAATACCTCCAACTGTCAAACATCATGTTAGATATTCGGCATTGTTCAATAACTAGTGTGCTGACCATATTTCAACTTAATCAGTAGAGTTTTATCAAAACTAAAGACTAAACAACCGTAACATTATAAAGTGACCACTTAATACAAAAGTTAACTATTTTATTGATTTATTGCTTTGTTGTTGGGGATGGGGGACAACAGTCCACGTTGGCTTCGATCTACACTGATTCCAGCTTTATTAAATGCACCTGAAATAGAACATTTATCAGCCGAGTTAAAATTTGCACGTGAACAATTATTACAGGGGATACGGTCAGCTGGTTTATCACATTTATTGAATCATACAGAAGAGAAAACCTCTACCACAAAGACGACTACGAAAGCAACAACAACAACGAAGAGGAAGAAGAAACGACCAACGTGTACTCCATAACGATCTTCAACATCTAAACAATACAGAATTTCTACTTAAAGCGAATTCTACAATGAAAGAAATAAAAATTAATAGCCGTATAATTAATACTTAAAACGAACTAGATAAAAAAGCTGAAAATATTGAGAGAGGATATGTAAAAATACAGTAACTGATAACTTTATTATTCTTATTCTTGTTCTTATTATCATCATCATCACAATAATAAATAGAACAGATACAATAAATGAACAAATTTACGCTGAATGAACCTTTCTATGAACTCAGTAAATTGACAATGTTTAGTAGCTTGTTATAATTGAGAGTATTTAGTGACTGTGTATACTTCAACAATAAGAGTAATACTGTAAAGGAAAGTAAAATATGTCAATGAGATCGTTTATTGTGAGTATGAGATTGTGGAGATTGTTGAATTTCAATAAATTCACGAACCAATCAGTTAGACAATCATTGGAGCTCCTTAGCAATGTACATCCACTAATCTTCAAAGAAGTCATACATTGAGATGGTGGAGATTTGTAGCTTAGGTGGATGATTTTGATGGAGTTTTGTTCTCTGAGCTGGATGGTTTGATCGTGGAGCTTTCATCGTTCTTCTGAACGACATCATCAGCACAAACTTCAGATAGAAGTGAAGTGTTCGAAACAGTCAACGTCGAGGTGTACAGAACGAGCTGTGAAACGCATATGGATGATGTCGTTTAGAAGAACGATGAGAGCTCCACGATCAAACCGTCCAGCCCAGAGAACAAAACTCTATTGAAGTCATACGTTATTTCATTATGTAATAAGTGAGTATGTATTGTTGTACTGATGTACCGGTGTGATATGACAACTTGAATTGGTGCATATATGTGGCAGGTTCCAGGTTGCACTTGAGTGACAGGTTACCGTGAATATATAAAACAAAGTCAATTCGTCAAATAGTTTTCTTTATAAAAAAGCTATAGATAAATATACATTTATGTACACATACTTAGAGCAATGTGGTCATATTCTTCAGATATTGTATATTCTATAGCATATAATTAATGTATTTCAGTGAGTTTGAAATGGATAGAAAACAGTGTCCACCTTTATTCAGATTGGGAACTTGTATCATAGAAAGTTGTCGATTCATCATCACCATTCATTCTTCAATTGACTTAAGTAAACATTCTCTGACGGTTGTTTAAATTCAACGAAATTATCACAGATCATCAATCGACGTTTTTCAAATACCCAACGTTGTAACCATTGAATTGGCCAATAAAATATAATCCATATACCAATGTAAAAGATATATGCCCATTTTAATCTATGAATAAATGGTGTTTCGAATCTGATTTCGCATAGGTTTTGGAGGAGAAACGTAATTAAGGAATCGTATTGATAGACTGTTATTTAAAACATGTTGTTCTGTTGTGCCATGCCAAATACCGTGGTTCGGTCGAGAATGAGGAAAGTCCACTCTCGTTCGGCGTTGCATTATTGCCCATACTAAAAAAGTCCTACTCACTACTTACCTGCTTCCGAACTGTCATTTGCGCAAATGTTAGTGTAAAACACAAACGTCTAACACTAACCAGGTTGGTGGAGACGGAGAGTTTGTAGTGTCAGTTATTATGGCAAGCCCATGTACCTTATTCTAACTTCCGGACATCCTATTTTATTCATTTTACTTGAGCCATATATTGACCTTGTCAATTATTCGCTTGTCAGTCTTGACTGTTTTTTTTATATGAGCGTATATGAGTGTACACTTCATGTCCCATGATTCATTGTATGTCTGTAGCTTATTTTGTTTGACTATAAATACTGAGTAACGCTTAATTGAAATGGAGTTGGCTTCCCAGCCATCTTCCCTGTGCGTCATTTTGCTTGGCTCTGTTTCATTCACTTCATATGCAAAATATATGTATTCAAATGCCGTTCTCGTTAATTGACTTATTTAATTCCGTTATGGACTAACGCGATCTAAGTCGACGATGATAAACGAGAATAGGTGATAACAAACATTCATACAATCTAAATGGAGTCAGATTCACGGGCCACTAAAAGTTCACCTAGGGTAGTTGGAGAATCCTGATTCCAGACCAATGTCTATCCAAGGAGGCCGCAGGGATCCCTTGGGAACGACTGACACACCAACCTATTTTCGACACTGACTACTATGAGACGCCATCCCCTGACTTTGCTTCACTGCGTTGTGGATAGGGACTTCTGTTCAAGGGCTTTGGGAGTGATCCTCCAAGAAAACCACCGGTTCGGTTACCCGGCCAGTATCCTAGCACAGACCATTATGATTCGTGTGGCACATGCCTAGTTTTGGTGCCCATTCGTGTTAGATTCTATGTGAATTAAATAAATTGATAGTCATTGCAATGCGCACACACAGGTCCAATCTGATATTCGATGCACCGCTGTACATTTATGAAAGGTCGGAAACAAGATCTTGAGTTTGAATCCCTTGGTAGTCGAGCTTTATGTGTAGTCAGATAATACTAAACACTAACAATGTGTTATATTTCATTCAACGTTTTCAACCCCCTTTTGTATGTATTGCATCGAGATGCCTAACAAAGGAATCTGTATATATGGTTTCAAGTAATAATTAATGACTTTAAAATGACATATTTCTTAAAGCTACAGGAAGAAAGGAGGTAGTTCATCTGGACCCGTTCTGTTGCATGTCACCTAACAACTTCAGCTATTGATCACTACAATCGGTTGGACACTAATCAGATTGTCTGGATCTACTAATGTGGCTCAGACCACCAGTTATTGGTTTAAGAAGTTGATGGCTCCCTTTAGTTCATCTGCCACTAGTTTCTCTTCAACTCACTCTTACGACGACCAATATTCTACGTTGGGGGGGGGGGATATTGGTGATGTGAGCCACATGTTGCAGTCACCTCAGTGGACGAAAATTCACAATCTTATCAATCTACTTATTATCCCTGCCTGGTATCCTGTGTCTCACGTCAGCATCATTTACTCGGAAACCATACATCTGCATCATATTGAACTGTCATCTAGGGTCTTCAGTTACAAATTATGGCTGGCTAACTATGAATTCTTCATCTCCTGATACAGTTATGATCATTAGTTAAGATTGTTTTGTGAAGTCATTCCATCACTTGTTTTGAATACCTTCTACATGATGATAATAATAAATGAATATATATATATATATATATATATATATATATATATATATATATATATATATATATATATATATGAATGATTAAAACATTAAAAGGATACAATAGTTCTTGCTCTGGAAGATTTATTACCAATGTAATATGAAATGATTCTGATGGTTGGGCGTCTGTTTCGCTAGTTGACATATAATATTGTGTTTTTCCGAGATGAAGGGTCACTACAAATAAGCATGAGAAGGAAATAAACTAGGTATGCTGAATTATGTGGAGTAGTGTCTTAATAGTTGAGGTGTTCGTTCGGCGTTCTTGCACTAAATCCCGAGTTGTAACCCTACTTCAACCTGAGTAACCGATTGATATCATTAGCCTTGACACTTAGAGTACAGCTCATATCCAAGTATATGATGAAGGGGTACATTATTTAATCAACATCCTATATACAGTGATACTTAGTTGGTGCTTTTAGTTTGATTGTTCTGCTCGGGTTGTTCACAAAACTTTAGCATGGATAATACTGAATGTCAATGCTGATTTTGTTCAGCATATGCTAACTGGAAGTTGAAATATGTGAAAGTTTTGTTGACTCGATGGTAGACTGAAAAGATTTCGGTCTGTATGCCACTCTAGTGTCTTGATAATTAAGGAGTCCGTTCAGCTTTCTTTCAATAAATCCAGATTTAAAACCCTACTTCATCCTGGGTAACTGAGTGGCATCACTAGCATTCGCAGTCTGTGCTCTTATGTAGTTAAGCCTACATTCGAGTTAGAGATGGGGTAGATAAGCCAAATTTACTATCTACCTAGACCTGTGCTGGAGACAAGACGTATGAATGACTTAACCCACAGAGGACATCAGCCCATGTTATCATTTGAAGTAGTGTATGGACTTTCCTTTCAAATATGTATTGATTTTCACATGAAAAATTTCTTGATTTTACTCAATCTCTTAATTTTGCGTTGTTCATGTGAAAACGTTCCATGTGTAATCGTTGCACAGCTGTGCTCAGATTTGGCATATTTATTCTGAATGTAAGTCTATGCCTAATAGAGTTTGTTAAACTGAAGTGGCAAATAGTTTTTCACTTGAACTACACTTTGCTGGTGTCACCGAGTAATAAATCCTAATCTTATGTCGTTCTAATCCTTAGCACTCAAAAATTCCATTGATCGAGTTCTAATGCGCGGTCTCTAGTTTAATTGGATTGGCATCGCGAGACATTTTGATGAGTTCCATGTAATTGGAAGTAGTCAACAGGAATTGATGAACCTAGGCTTTATGCTAGTTAATTATTTGTTTAATGGCTCTATTCAATATTATATTTTGGTACACTATAGAATTCTCAGCACAGGGTATTTCAACAAGTTACTTAGGCAAAAAAAACCTAGTAACGAAGACAAAAAAGGAAAAAGAAGGTTAAAAAAGTCAACTGAAAAACTGTACAACTTTTCAAATTAGGGACATGTTAAGAATGCAGGTTATTGACTAGGTTAACTCTAACAACCTGTTCGTCAGAGAGAATATTTGCTGGGTAAGGTATTGTAGAACTTTTATACTTTTGCTTGCGTGCATGGATTGCAATGCAATTACGTCTCGTTCTACCAGAAGCTGTACGAGGAGAAAGATAAGAGTGAATGGGATGGTTAGTATCTGATAAAATAACACTTTCCAGGAGTTTGCATGACTTTCGATGTCTATCCACAACCATATTAATTATGACCTCGAAAGATTCACCACACATCTTGTTAAATGTCTTCAGCACTCTCTGCAATACAGCAAAGTATTTTCTGAAAAGCTCGGGAAAGAATAGTGGAGAACAGTAAAGGATGATAGGTAATATACAAGAATAGACAAATTGTAAGCGTAAATGATGAGTAATTCCAAAAGCATGCAGTCACTTTATGTAGAACGTCAGACGGAAGACTTTCTTCGATAACATTAAAACAAGCGAAAAACAAGAGAGATCAGAGGAAAAGGTAACACCAAGATAATTGACCTTTGACACTATTTATCAAAGAGCCTACAATGGCACAAGCATTATGGGATCTCAAAATGGTGTTTAGATTCTGTTTATGTCTCATGCTAAAGTTAACAGCCTGAGATTTAGAAGGATTGAGTATGAGACTTACCAACAGACCAACAATCAAAACGAGACGAAAACTCATTCATTTCTATAGGGTGTAAAGAGGAAGAGATAGGCATACATACAGTTAGATCATCCACATATTTCACAAGAGTGTTTTCTGTGGAAGATGGCAGATCATGCAGAGAAGAAGAGGCGAAAGAACAGTTCCTTGTGGTACACCTTCATGAGACAGTAGAGACTCTGAACACTTTCCTCCAAATACAGTGTATTGTTCCCGTCCAGAGAGGTAGGAACATAGTCAGTTGGTTATCCAGCTGTCAGTGTTGATTAACTTGTTAATTAAACGTTGTCTTGGCATAGAATCAAAAGCTGAAGTATAGTCCAGAACTTGTTAGCTAAGTGTATGAAAACAGTGCACGCTATCTGGGACATAGATTGAAGCACATTCGGTCACCATAGAAAACGTTAGTTTCTTTGCGATTGCAGATACTTCCTGCTAAAATTGCCAACCATCACAAAACCTATACGTGGTTCACAAATGGATCCCAAAAATTACCACTGATTGTTATTATCGGGGCATAACAGAGCCCCACATCAGAATGTAGCAGCTTTCTAGTGCTTCTTGATTTTCAACACTACCACAACTGAGATTTATTTGCAATGAATAGAGCTCAATAAAAATCCATTTAAAAATTTTTATATTACTGGTCAAATTTTCGGCAGAAAATATTTTAGCTGTAATTATGTTTCTGACAATTTTTATTTCCTCTCTCGCTCGCTTTCTATGTTCGACTTTTTGTAGACAAATCGAAAGTGGATTATAGCGGTAGGAAAAAAGAATGCCTGACGATTCGGGAAAGAACGTAAGAACCCTTCATTCTTCCAGTTACATTCGTCGACTAACGCTTGACTAAGTCGAGTTGGTTCATTCTCTTTCTCCATTGAGCATCCTTTCGTTTCTATTAGCTCTCTCTTCTCTTTATTCACTGAGATTCTCTGATTGCCTGTTCAGATCAATGAGTGTACAAAGTATACGTATTCAAACATCCATCCTCATGTTTGACTTATTTAATTCCGTTGTTCAGCATTGTCAGTTAAATCGATAAAGATATACGAGAATAATCAGGACGTATATTTCGACAGTAATCATTCAATAACGATGATTTGTCCTATCTAATTAGACTCAGATAAGGGGCAATAAACATTATTCTATTGTTGACTACAATTCAAATAAATGATATCCAATCTTCCTTTTTTTAATTTGTTTGCTTACTGAATTTAGATTTTGTTTTTTAGTTCCAATGACACACCCACCAATTGATTTCACTTTGATTTCATACTTTCCATAGACAGATTCGGTGGAAAGTGATGCCAATTTTTAGTGATTATTTAGCTTCCTACTTAATTTTTATTTAAGTAGTATTCTGAGTTCGCTCAAAAGAAAATAGTGTGAAGTTTGCAATTCCTTATTTTTATACTAAATTTAATAGTAAAATTGTTAGTTATTTTATTTATCATAATAACTTTTAATTAATTATCAGAATGTGTTTTGTGGAGATTTTTAGAAATTTTTCACAGATTGAACTAATGAGTCAGTTGAAGCTAGACCACCATTGAAAACCTGGAAGCACTGGGCGGCCGTTTCGTCCTAGTATGGGACTCCTCAGCAGTGAGCATCCACGACCCCGCACCACCCGGGGCTCGAACCCAGGACCTACTGGCTTCGCGCGCGAGCTTCAACTGACTCATGAGTTCAATCTGTGAAAAATTTTAATTAATTATCAGATATGTGATGAGAAAATAAATTGTATATTTGAATTTGACCTTGTTTTGAATGAGAATCGACTGAATAAAGTCACTGCTTGGAGTATTGGTCAAATTGAGAAATCGATGAGTGTAGATCACAAACGTAGATGATCTATGTCAAATAATTGGAGACTTATAAGTTGGTAAGTATCTTATTGTAGATAATAATACAATTCAGTGGTTTAAAACATTTACTAATTATTAGTTGTGTATTTTTAATTGCAAAACACTAATTGATCTTCACGTTCAAACGAACGAATGATTACAGTGAAAATTACTGGATTTTAGAAAAGAAACTAGCTTATGGCTGAATAGGGATCGTGGATGCGCACTGCTGTGGAGTTCCATAATAGGAGGAAACGGCCGTCCAGTGCTTCCAGGTTTTCAATGGTGGTGTAACATCAATCGGTTCGTGATCTCAATTAAAAACTTAGCATTTTCCACAACCCCTAGACTGATAATTACCATGTGCTCACTAGTGACTATCTTCGTGCGAAAATCCTCGGAGTTCTGTTTAGAAGCCGTGACTATTGGGGCTTATCTGTGTAGAGTAGACACAGATATCTACCTCAGTACAATGGAAGATGGTCGCGCAATTTCCGTGGATTGGTTGAGGTTAAACATTAACGCCGTTGGATGCCGGCCGAGTGGTTTAGTAGGTTAGGCGTTCGCGCATGAGACTAAAGGCCGTGGGTTCGATTCCCGCGAGCGGGATCAGGAATGAGCACTGCTGAGCAGTTCCATAATAAGACGAAATGGCTGTCTAGTGCTTCCAGGTGTTCAATGCTGGTCTAACATCAATCGGTTCATGATCTCAATCAAAACTTTTATTTTCGTTCAAGGTACGTTTTCGCGTAAGTCTTTGGTTGGTGTTCCTATCTGAGACTATACGAACGTTTCTAAACTTCGTAAGCGCACAGATTAGCCGTTCAGATTCTTTTAACTGTTTAGCTAATATATGAGAATGGAATCTGAACAAGACTGGGCACGAGTATTTCTAGTGCACTTTATTAAGTGGAATGCATTGGCATAGACTGTCTTGAAGGTTAGATGCTTATTTCTTGTTTCAGATCATCATGCTTTGATAAGTAGTTAAACCGTTTCAGTGATTTCTATAAAACGATACACAGGACGTGATGTGGATTATAGCATTAGGATGATTAACCACAGTCTCATAGTCCGATATGCACAGGACGCAATAACTAGTTGGATATCAGAGAATCAGAATAGATTATAGGCTATCCAACAAAGGACGTGAAAACTAGGTGGTTCTTTAAAATCGGCCACTTAACCCTTTTGAATTTAGATGGTAAATGATCACAGCGTTTATACTTGGCTGGAGTCAGACCGTCTATGAATCGACAGACAAAAGATCACTTTTTTTCTAAGAAAATTAGTGATCTTTTGTGAAATGAGAATTTCTTTCATCTCTGTTTTATGGGTATGCGTAGGTGTACGTGACTGTCAGTTATATTAACAGCTTATTATAAGAAAGCGATTCCTTTGAATTTCTTTTTAGAAAAAAGGCATTCTTTTGTGAAATGAGAATTTCTCTCATCTCTGTTTTGTGTGTATGACTTATTGTCGGACTGATATTACTCCGCCTATACAAAGTAGAGTATAGAGAATATCATATTATTTGATTAATGAGACATAATGAGGTGATAGACGACAACAAATTGTGATCTTTGGTATTTTAATAAACAACTGAAGTTATCAGGAATATGCTTGTTAATTAAACGCTAGATTATTTACAGTGAGAGAACTTACAATTAGCGGTATACAAATATCAGATTATATACCTCAATAGCTAAAAGAATATTGCATACCGATGAGTTCATCTATCACGATAATTAATAAACAATGATCATATCATTCTATAACATTCAATCGTCTTGATGGTCACATTGAATCATCTAATCAGAAAGGAACAAACAAACACTTGTAAAATGTATATAAACACGACAAATTCTGGAAAATTTTATTAACGTTTTGAACAACACGATGAGGTGAGTACTGAATGCTTTGCCAAGGTAAATGAGATTTTGACATAAATTTTAATTTCATTCAATGAGATATTGTTGTTCTGTTCACCTGACCCATTGCAGGTATACCTTTTCATCTGACCAGTTGATCTCGCTCTATTCAATCATCGTTTTACTTTCGACATTTTGTGACTGTAAGGACATTTGTAAAGATCCCGCAGTAGAGAACAATGAAGAAGTAATCCTTCAAAGTAATGCATATAAATATGTAAGTCGTCGGTCATGTTCCAACACACATATTCAGTCACATTTTTATCACTATTCCCAAATTATTCGTGCCGATCAGACTCTTCCAGTTGATGATGGCAAGTTTGGGAAATTGGTTCCTGAAACGGTGAGTTCACTATATTTTATAATGGAGGTACTAAACTATGTTTGTTCATTATCAGGAAATTCGTTCAAAGTTTCCGTTTAAAGTTTACGGTGTTAACGTCAGGTTATTCATCATACATCCCTATGGTGAGAGAATCATTTTCTTTGAAGTAAAATTGTTATTGAGTTTTGTTTATTCACACTTCATTCCTTGGATCAAAGTTGTTCTATGTTTCTTAGTAAAACAGTTTTATACTTTTTCTAACATTCAAAACTTCTGCTGATATCTTATTTTGTTTAATTTGTAAATCGTTTGATACATTGTAGTAAACTAGTTGCGGTTCATGAAATTCATTTTAGTCTCAAGATTGTTTCGTAGTCTTTCATTCTTTCACTGTTGATCATCAATCCAATTGCATGTTTTCATTCAATAAACAGGTAGAATTAGTATTATCGCAAAAGATGCCATAGGAACAACTGAACATCTTGTGAATCTCACACTACCAACTGAATCTGAATTTTTGGAAGAAAGTGAGTTATTGTGTGTTCTTATTTATCACGTTTTGTTTGCATAAATTATTCAGTATTTAAATTGATTGTTTCATGAGAGCTGACCAGTACACAGTGATTATTTTGTTTTTGCGATCTGATACCCTAAAATGTGTTCACAACACGTTTTCATCACTGTCAAGTGATATTCTTAAATAAAACAGCGACACACTTCAAAATAAACACAAATCGATAGAGTGGAAATAATATGTCGAATGATGTGAAAGCGGAAGTGGAAATCAGTTTGCATTGATGAGGCACATGAACTATCAAATTATTTTAGATTTTCTTCAAATCTTTTCTGTCATTTACATGGTTCGGATAAGTTTATTGTCCGTTAATCATTATCTGTAGACCATTGGATATTCAACACTTTTCTGATTATCACGTTTGTATGATCATGAAGTTCGAACTCATTTTCATCTTCAAACATCAAATCAACGAACAAACATGAACAGTCAGATAGTACAACATAAGTAATTTGAACCAGAACACCTAAACCATCAAAATGAAGTTCATTCATTGTGTTTAGTTATCGGAACGAATGACAATTGAGTAACATATCTGTATAATAAATAGTTTTGAACTGAGAGAACATTGTTCCATTGGAATGACAAAGTTTCCGAAAATGTTTATGCATATGTTTTGTCGTATAGATATTACCACTTTTTTAGTCAGTCGAAAGCTTTTAAGATCAACGTTTCAGAAGTGAAATATTCTTCTCAATTGGTTGGATTCAAACGTTCATCACATCGTTGAAATAATAACAAGAATCCTTGAAATTATCATTTAATTAGACCGGTGAAAAGTCATTCTGTTTTGAAATATGTTTATTAAAAGAAATGGACATTCATAACTCAGGAGCATAAACACAAATTTCTCTTGCTTTTATTATTTCAGAGGAATATTTTGCTGTCAGATATTCTTATCATCAGGAATTTGATGGTGAAAGTATGCTTTCATAAAATGACTGTTTGATCATATATGAAATATTTAAACTTACACCACCATTCATTGTATTCACTTACACTTTAGTTGAATTCTTTACAAAAACTGACAGTAGTAATAAAGTGTAGTCATTCCGGAAAATTAGGGTAAAACTATATGAGCAA